ATGATCTTGGTAGATAATTGGAATTCCTTGTGGTAAACATCCTGTCCCTCCCCTCAGACTGTGTAAGGGGGTTCCTTTCAGTCCATTTACTCAAGGCTTCAATTAGCTGCGGGAATCCCCATTCTTGCCACTGGTCATCTAATCTCACCAAGTCAGCTCGTATCCCTTCTAGCTTATCCAATGTGAGCCTTGTGTAACCTGAAATTGATTTCAGTCTCCCTAATGATTCAAGTGCTTGTACACTTGGCAACAACTTGTTGAAAAAATCATGGATTTTGTGTGGGTTTGACCCCCTTATCACTGGTAACTCAATAATACACTGTACATGTGCATTTATAACTTCACTTGGCCTGCCATATTTAGACTTCAATATTTGTTTAGCCCTCTCGTAGCCCTCACTATTGTGGATCAAATTCTCAATGTTTATACGTACTTTTGGCTCTATGAATTCTTTCAAGTAATTAAAGGACAAGTGACACGCTTTTGGCGCCAAATTTTTTTTTTCTTTTAACTTAAAGTATAATGCTGTATGAGAGTGTTGTTGAAATATTTTTCCTTTCTGATTTCATTTTCCCACTTAAAAACCCATTTTAAATTATGGCGGGAAATGAATCACGTGACACCGTGACGTAGATTGTGATAATTTGTTATTGCTGCTACTGGTATAGAGTGCAATATTAACGTTTACAACACGCTTGTAAACGAATACAGTTCGTCTGGACCTGTCGCGTCGTGTTTCGTAAACTCTCTATCAATTACAGGAAAATTCTGAGTTATCACAATGAACGTCATAGGGTCACGTGATACAAAGCAAAATCGCGCCCCCTGCGCCCCCTGATTAGAATTTTTTGTTCCAAACCAGGAAGAACTTACTTCTAAAAGATGATCTATAAGTTAATGAAAAGAAACGATAGGGTGAAAAGTGTGTCACTTGTCCTTTAAACTTAATGACAGGGTCTAGGTTTTGCTTATCGACTTCAGTCTCGAACTGATTCCAAAAGCGGAACCAGTCTATATGTGTTCCTTTAAATTTGGTGATACTTAGCTTTGGAAGCTTCACTGCGGTTACAGGCTTTTCCCCCACGAGGGATCTCCCCTTCAATTCAACTAATTTTGCCTCTAGTTGTAATCTTTGCTCAAATTTTTGTCTTTCTAGCTCTAAATCTACTTCTTGCTCTTTCTTTTTTGCATCATGTTTAAAACTTTCAATAATTTCTTTCATACCTGCAGCTATGGGCTGAAACTCCTTCAGTCTTTCCTCGATTCCGATTCTCCATTTCTTTACTTCACTGGGGATTTCCCCTTCCTCTAGTTTCAATTCTTGTATTTGAATTTTCAGCTCCTGAATTTCGTCCACTTTCGTTTCGTATACTCTAGACTGTCTCTCGATTTCCTTTTGATCCTTTCTCTGCATAATTTCTTCAGTTTCTTCGTTCAGATACGATAAAAATCCAAGCTTTTTGTCGATTTTCTTGACAAACTCTTCCACGACGGCCATCTTGAATTCACAGTCTCACTTATTATGAAATTTCACTCACTTCTCACTTTCTCCCATCTGGGGTGCCACTGTATCGCGAACTTAGAATGTTGTAAGGCGATAAACTCACAAATAACTCGAAATAGAAGTTATATATTTCTTTCTAGGTAACAAAACAATAACAAGCTGGTTATATACTCTCATCGCACACTCGCCTTTTTGAATAGTAAAAGTCATGTCTCTGAAGCTCCTCACCCCCACGCGCTCGCTCCTTCCCCGCGGTTAATTATAAGCAGTTTTTATTTTACACATTGTAGCTGGTAAAGTAGCTTGCTGAAGGCATTCAGTTTTTAGTTGAGGATCTGTTATGTGAAACTCGATGGATACATAAACATGACGCATTTTTGATTTCTTTGGAGAATAACTATACGGGCCTAAGCTGGAAAACGTACCTTATCATAGCTTGAAAGAGACGCACTTTGCTTGTGAATCTATTCAGTGTGTCACAGAGAATAAAAATTTACACCAACGCGGCCTGGGATTCCCCACACTGAAAGTGGCGACTACGAAGGGACATCGAAGAAAATTCATCGACATTGGCAACGAAGAGGTTTAAACAGTTCCTGTTTCTCGCTCCAAAGGATAATTGCAGCACGCTTCGCGACCATTCTACGCATTGTGAAACAGCAATTGTTCCATTCAATTGGCACGCAGTTAGATTACAGCATTCCAGGAATTTTCAATTTGTGAGGTAATACTGGGTCACTGGGACTCTCCTCCGCAGAGACGAATTCAAGAATGAGATTGCAAGAGTAGATGGATGAGATACAGAAGCATTCTAAAATTTTGCAATTGGCAAAAATCACCTTGAAGGAGATTTCCGACAATGATGAAATAGGAGATGAAGAAGATTTACAGCTGCATTATGAGCAAGATTGCGAACTGATGAGAAAAGTGGAGCTCTCTATATATCGCACCAAAGATCAAATGCTGGAAGAAGAACAAACCCTGGATGAGATTACAACCTGGTCAAACGCACAAAAAGAGGAATTGAAACCATTTTGAGAATTAAGGGCTGCCCTCAAAAGCCGGATATCAGGGAAACAAAAGGAAAAAGCAGATCGAGAGTTACAAAAGGAAATTGAGAAACAACGCATCTTAAATGAAGAGGCGGTAGGAGCAAGACTTGAAGAGCAAAGGGAGAGAGAAGAAGCCTCAATACGCCAGATTCAACGGGAAGAAGAGTGGATTACGCGCAAATTACAGCTAGAAAAAAAAGCAAGGGAGCTGACTATTTACAAGGGGAGTTTGCCGTCACAGCCAGCAGCTCAAGCCGTGAAACTCCAGAAATATACAATCACGCCTTTCAGTGAAGACTACAAGGACTGGGTCAGGTTTTGGAACCAGTTTGAAATAGAGGTAGACGGATCAAGTATCTCGGAGATCAGCAAATTTCATTACTTGCTTGAGCTAACCAAGGGGAAACCAAGAGAGGACATTCTGGGGCTGCCACACACTGTCGACGGATATAAGGAGGCAAAAAGAATTTTACTTTCAACATACGGGAAAGACATTAAAGTACACAAGGCGCTAATTAAAGAGATCGAGAGCCTTCCGCCTATAACTAACATCCATAAAACGGCCAGCATTAATGAATTCTATAACAAGCTTTCACGAGTTGTGAGGGCACTAGCAACCATGAAGAAACTGGATTCTGTGCAGAGCACAGTCTTTACGATTATGGATAAACTAGGGCCAGTTCGTGAGATCATTGCTCAAGGAGACGGTGAATGGGAAGAATTGAAGTTTGAGCAGCTCACCGAAAATCTGCGGAAGTACGTTGACAGAAATCCGATAAAATCAGGAGATGAATTCAAGCCGGACTTTGTTAATCGAGAAAGATTTCGAGAACAAGATTTCGAGTTACTTCTTGGTAACCACCAAAATATCCGAAGAACAGGTGACAGATGTGTTTACTGTGGGAACAAACAATCAGCACAAAAGCTAAGACTGCCCAAGGGTCCTCAGTGTTGCCAGCCGACGGGAGGTCTTAAAGAAGAACAGACTCTGTCACAATTGCACGGGAAGTGGGCATTCTGCAAAGACTTGCAAATCCAGAAATTGCCTAAAGGGTGGACAGAAGCATCACACATCATTATGTTAAAAACAACAGTCAACCTTACCAGACAGATGTCGCCATCAGAAAAGAACATGAGTGCTTCGAATAGTGGAACAACCACCATTCATGCAACGGTCAAGGCAAAGATAAACGATCAAGATGTCAGAATCATGATAGATACTGGTGCAAGCAGCTCATACATTTGTTCGGATTTGGTAACAAAGCTGTCTTTCAGACCAATCCGCAAAGAAACAAGGTGTATCGAACTAATGTCTGGCACAGTTACGAAACATGTGGAGATCTACAGGATCAATGTCAATTCGACTGCTGTCGCAGGTTTCAGCTTGGACGTCGATTGTATCAATGCCGAAAAAGCAGTGCTGACACACCTGCCTAACCCAAAGATCGTAGATTTGAAGCGAAAATTTCAGCGGCTAAAGAGACTACAAGTTAATGATGAAGAAACATCTGATCGTCAACTGCCAGTACACATCATATTTGGTGCAGCAGATTATCAAAGGATACGCATAACAGAACAACCTGTAGTGAGAGCGAATCCAGATATGGATCCCGGAGCCGAGTTTACGATGTTAGGATGGGTGCTGTTCGGAAGGCAAGCACTGGATTCATTGGATGTTGAAAAGGGATTCTTCCTGAAATCAAGTAAAAACGACTTTGAACAACTTTGCAGTCTGGATGTTTTAGGCTTGATTGATCCACCAAGCAACGATTCAGTGTTCCATGAAGACTTTACGCAACACTTACTGAAGAAGGAGGAAGGTTACTACGAAACCCGGTTACCTTGGAGACCTGACCATCATGCTTTGCCAGAAAATAAAGTGCTAGCAACAGCAAGGCTACAGAGTACAACCAAAAGACTTGAAATAACTGGGAAGTTAAAGGATTATCATGAGGTCATGCAGGAGCAAATTCAAGAAGGGATAATAGAGAAGATTCCTCAGAGGCCATCAGGAGAAACAGTTCATTACATTCCACACCAAGCAGTAATTCGAGAAGATGCAGAATCAACAAAGCTAAGGATTGTGTATGACTGTTCAGCAAAACCAAACCCTTAGCTACCATCACTCAACGACTGTCGCCGAACAAGATCGTGACGCACAAAGGATACTTTGGTATGATAATCTCAAGGATAGAAACATCATTGAGTACAGATTCACGAGGGTCATATTTGGAGCCGGGCCTAGCCCTTATATACTAGGAGCTACACTACAGAAACACGTATTGGATTATATACAAAGTTACCCTGACACTGTGAACGCCTTACTGAAGGAAACTTACATGGATGACATACAATATGGGGGAGATTCATTGGAAGAGCTTGTGAGATTTAAGGAACAGGCTACAGAAATCATGAAGGAAGGGGGATTTACGCTACACAAATGGCATAGCAACATCGCGTCATTAGAATCTACTGCAGCTGAAAAGGGAAGACAGAAAGAAGAAGATGACGTCAGAGAACAAATGAATCAACATGAAGAGTTGAGAAATACTGCCAAGATTCTTGGAATTCAATGGGACAAGGACAAGGATCAACTTCAAATAAACTTTGATTCGTGTCACCAAACAGACCAGCCTGTAACCAAGAGAAAGATGTTGGCAGTCATCAATAGTATCTTCGACTTGCTTGGATGGATTTCACCAGTGACAATAACTGCAAAGATCTTATTCAGTGAGCTGTGCCTAAGGAAAGTCACTTGGGATGAAAGCTTGCCTGAAGATATACAACGACGTCGGAATTTATGGATCAAAGGATTGAAGTTATGTCCCACTATCACGATTCCCAGAAGTGTTAAGAGCCCCAGAGATGAAAAGTTGTCAGTTCATGGATTTGCTGATGCCAGCAAGCAAGTAGTATGTGCAGCCGTGTATTTATTGGTGACATATCCCACTGGAACAGTGGATAAAAACTTACTCGTTGCCAAGTCTCGCATTTTGCCAAGAGAATTTATCAATACCTCGTCTGGAACTGGTGGCAGCTCACACACTTGCGAAGCTGATAAGTCATGTTATGGGAACGCTGAGCTCCTTTGAAATCAAGAATTTTCATTTATGGTCTGACAGCACAACTGCTCTCCTCTGGTTGGCAAGCAAAGGAACATGGTCACAGTATGTCAGAAACCGATTGAAAGCAATACACGACTTGGGGAAGTGGCAATGGCGCTACGTACCAACCGATCAGAACCCTATCGATTTGGGAACAAGAGGTGTGCCACCAGCAAAACTGGACGACTTCTGGTTCAAGGGACCACAATGGCTAACAGACAGGCATTCTTGGTCAGTCCAACCGGAAATTGCAGAAACAGAGGAAGCAGCCAGAGAATCTTTGCCACGGAAGAAGGAACACGTTTTTGTGGAGCAGGAAACGGGGAATCATGATATACACGAATAGAGAAATTCACTGATGCAGAAGTTCAGCTATTGGAAATTACTTCGAGTAACATCATGGGTTAAGAGATTTGCTGATAACTGCAGAGTCAAAGAAAAATGCAAAGGGCCTATCACAGCTAAAGAGATCAATTCAACAGAGAATTTTTGGCTAAAGGTTGCCCAAAGGGGTCAAGAGCTTAATAGCCCAATGGAACTGAGAAAGGACGACGCAGGAGTGTGGAGATGTTTTGGAAGAGTACCAGGATACCACCCAGCCTTCATTCCTAGGAAGAGCCTACTTGCAGTAAAGATCATACAGCATTGTCACAAAGGAACATTGCATGGGGGAGTACAGTCAACAATGGGTAAAGTCAGAAAGCGATTTTGGATTCCACAGTTGAGACAAAGCGGTTCGTTTTAAGTGCAATGGATGCAAGAAACAAAGGGTGAAGGGTATGCCATCACAAAGGGTTGCAGTTTTGCAAAGATTTAAAGCGGAATTTGCTGAACCGTTCGCGACAACTGGAGTTGATTTCACCGGTCCCTTATACTACAAGGCAAACAAGAAGGAAGTCAAGAAGGCTTACATTGTGCTGTTTACATGCTCAAGCACCCGAGCTGTGCACCTTACCCTGTGCAAGGATATGACTGCAGAAGAATTCAAAAGCACACTGAAGTGGTTTGTTGCAAGAAGAGGCAAACCACACCTCATGGTTAGTGACAACGCAAGGACGTCCCAGGCAACAAAGAAATGGTTGGAGAGCTTGCAGAACAATGAAGAAATTAATGGCTACCTAGCATCGCAATCAATCAAGTGGATATTCAACCTGTCACGGGTAATTGGAGTTATGAAACCAGCACCTTCAAAGGTTATTGGAAATGCATTACTCACATTTGCAGAGCTAGAAGAAACCTTATTAGATGTTGAGTGCTTCATGAACAATAGGCCACTTACATACCTTGGAGAAGAAATTTGACAAGCAAGTAATAGCGCCAAACATTATCCTACGTGGAGAACCAGCAGCTCTCTTGGAAGACAACATAGAGACACTTGAAGACCAAGCAGATGTTGCAAGGCGACTGAGGTACATAAGACGTTGCAAAGAGCAGCTACGGAGACAATGGATCGGCGAGTACTTGCGTGCACTGGAGGAGAGGAAAAGAACACAAGTTGCACCTGGAGAGAACAAACTCAGCACTGGCAGAGTTGTCCTGATCAAGGATTTAACAAAAGGCAAGGGCCAGTGGAAGATCGGTAGAGTTGAAAATGAAATCATTGGTAGGGATGGAGTTGTCCGAGGGTATAAAATACGCACAGGAAATGGCTACGTCGTCGAGCGACCATTACAGCCAAGTGCAGATCTGAAGATTGGCGCTGACGTTCTAGAGGAGAACAAAGACCAACGAGGGAGCGACCTGAACCCAGCAGCAGAAGAGTTTGTCCCACAAGGTCGAGGCCGAAGAGCCGCAAAAGAAACTGCATTGAATAGAATCGTTGATGTTCAACTGAATGAAGCCGAGGTAGAATAAGGACTGATATTTAAGCTGCAAGCGCACTTTAATAGGGGGAATGTGTGGCAAACTGGACCTTTCCAGTAAATTCTTAATAATGCTAAATAAGTAGAACACGCTAGACAAGTTGACTAAAATAATTGTAGAAACTTCTAGAGTTAGCCTTACGTAAGATGCTGTAACTTGCTTATTCAAGATTGTATTCCTCCACACGTGATATTGTACGAGTATATTCTAGAAATTTCTTGTTGAACATTTTATAAGGGTAAAGTAGCTTGCTGTAGGCATTCAGATTTTAGTTGAGGATCTGTTATGTGAAACTCGATGGATACATAAACATGACGCATTGTGGATTTCTTTGGAGAATAACTATACGGGCCTAAGCTGGAAAACGTACCTTATCATAGCGTTAAAAGAGACGCACTTTGCTTGTGAATCTATTCAGTGTGTCACAGAGAATGAAAATTTACACCAACATCTCTGTGTAAATTGGATTCCAACAACTTGGATTCCCCACATCTCTATTTTGAAATGAGAACTAGGAACAGGCCTTTGGAAATTGCAAGATTAATGTCGGCATTGTAATTATTGATAGTGTTACAGCAAAGATAATTAAGCCATTCATGTCAATTGGCAAAATATGAGAGTGGTTCAGTATCCTTTGATTTTACAAAATGTTGATGGAAGATGACCTAGCAAAAATTGAAAAATTCTACGCAGCATAAAAGGATGATCTATCTTCTAAGATCACTGAGGAGTCACTTTTTTTAAGAAGCATCAACTATTGCATCCGAGAAACTTGACTATAGCTCCATCATTGACCCTTTCACAGATACAAAGACTTGAAAATTGTTCTTTTAACTAGCTAGAAAATTACCTAAAGCTACTAACCTTGTTTGACAAACATAATGAAGCTATAATACTGTTGCTGCTTCTACCTTATTTCATTTAAAGGCTTTCCCCGTTATTTTTACTATTATTGACAGGTTTTAATAATGGAGAGGCTAAACTGATAATTATTTATTATTTAGTTAAGTTATTATCTATAGGCCCCTAAAATCATGGGTCCCCAGGTCAGTGACCCCCCTGACCCCCTCTCTTCAGAACTGTGTTTTTGACGCAAAGACTCAGTGAATGTTCATGACAGTGCGTAGCGTGTGATTTTGGTTTTCTTTGCAACGCCAGATTTCAATCCAAGCATATTGCTTGCGCCGTCATAGCACTGGCTGCGACAAGAATCTAGTAGTGCGGTCGAATGCCAGCAGTTAAGCTTCGCAAAATGCTGTGAGACATGATGCCAAGGATTTCGTTTTGGATATCGTGACTTGTGTATTTGTCTCGCTTGTCCTCGAGCCACTCTCCAAACTTTTCATCGTCTGGGCTTTATCCAACAATGTGTTAGTGGCGCCAGGGCTACAGCCCCCCCCCCCCGTCGGAGCAACCTAGCCCCCCCCCTCCCCGTCGTACAAGAAACGACCAATTTTTCGGAGCACACAAATATTTTCTTTGATTCAAAGAAATAGCTTTCCTGACTTTAGGAATCTCATTTCAATCAAGCTGGACTCTCGTTCTAAACATGTATTCTTGTCTAAACCTGAGCGTTTTAAAGCATTCATTGAAAAACTTTGACCGCGTGGCTGTCAGTCGTCTCTGGTCACCTTAGTGGGGTGCAAAAGAAGCTTCCCGAAATAACAGGAGCTGAGATGGCATACTACGTTCACTGTTTTTGCCATCGTCTCACTAGTGATAGTAGATATAGTCAAATCAAGTGATAGTAGATGTAGTCAAAATTGTAGAATTGCATTATAAAAAGCAACTCTTTTTTGAACAAAGCACTTTCTTTATTGATTTGCTCTGCCCATCGCATTTGTCCACTAGGCTGCACATAAATTCAGTTGTTACACCCAACTCTTCAAATAAGATTACTTCTTAACACAATAAAGGTAATTTACACGTGTTAACTAAATAAAGGTAAAACGTGCGGTTCCCGTTCGTTTGTTACTTGACATAGTTATTGGAACGCAATGCTATGAACTTGGCACAGTTTCATAGCGGTTTTTGCTTGCTTCCTCGTGTTTCAAGGCTTTGGTACAAAAAAAGGTTGGCCTCCCCATCGCAAGCATCAGCCCCCTTGTCGGAACTTTCCTAGCACCACCCCTGGTGGGAACGTTGCTTT